TGAATAGCCAAGGAACTGCCTACGGTCAGAGATGAATGTGAGCACTGATTTGTCTGTCTCATAAGGAACAACTCTGCCTTCTTTCATTACAACACAGACAGATTAGAACCTCCATCACAAATACTGCTTCCAAGGGATGTCTCTGTGAGAGAGCTTAATTTCCTGGAACTGGAATAGAATGAGATGTCCTTTCCTTTTTACCAAGAGAGAACTTTGCTCCAGGAGGAATTGTGACCTTGGTGACAATATAGCTAACCAAATATAGGCAGGCTGATGTTTACAAAAACAGAACAAAACAAAACAAGGCCCCCAAAACACTCCCCTATTTTTGTAATGTGAATGTGTGTCTGTATTTGTGTGTGCACACGTGTGTTGGTTGATGTTGGGGTCGTCTTGGAATACTGCTCCACCTTAGTCCTTGAGGCAGGGTCCCTTAGTCAAACCCAGAGCTCACTGATATGGCTACTCTTACTAGATGTGGCTAGTCTCATTAGCCAGCTTGCTTGCCCTGAGGATGGAGGCTGGAATAACAGGTGGGCTGCCATAGCTACCCAGCATGTAGGTGTGTTTCTGGGGTTCCAAACTCTAGTCCTCATGCTTACAAGCCTGAATCATTTCCTCAGACCACAAAGACCCTTTGGAGATGCTTCTGTTTTCATGGGTGTGAAGCAATGAAGCCATTCTGGACAGCCTGGTTTACCAAATGTTTATACTAAGTGTTGGTGCCCAGCTTTTCTGCCCCTTAGATCCACCTGAGGGGGGGGGTGTTAAAAATCCTAATGACTAGATTCCATCTATGATCAGTGAAATTATGGCCCCTTGGGCAGGGACAGCAGCACAGGACTGCTGAGCTTTCTGGGCGATTTCAGCACAAAGCCACGATTAGAACCACTGATTTGGACCGTCACGGTGAGAATGGCACATCCCATGTGTGTCCCACCAACAGACAAGGCTCAGCCACAGGGTGAACCCGTTTGGAGAAGTCAGCTTTCTAGAGTGTCTTATGATTCTTTGTGTTGGTTAGTGTCACCTGTCACCAAATAAACATAAGCCCCAGAGGGACGGGCCCTAAGTAGTTGAGACTGCTCAGTAAGATGGCTCTGCATCGCTGTGGAGTCTGATGTTTGATCTCTGGAATCTACATGGTAGGAAGAGAGAGGTAATTTCTGCAAGCTGTCCTCTGACACCACACATGCACCATGGTATGCTCATGCTCTTACACACACACACACACACACACACACACACACACACACACACACACAATGTAATAAAATAACAATAAATAAACAATTTCTCAGGTGAGCTGGTTTGGGGTACATGCCTGTAATCCCAAGCAGCTGAAAGGCTGAGGGAAGAGAATGATCCAAGAGAGAGGCCAGTCTGTATATGGAGTTCAAGGCTAGCCTGGATCAGACAGACAGACAGACAGATAAGCTAGCTAGGTTAGGTGTACCCTGCACGAAGCCAAGGCTGAGAACTCAACTTTGCCTGGTGCCTGCTTTGTTTAGAAGAGGAAGCAGAGGCCAGGCTGCCCCCATTAACCTCCTGGTACATGTCACCCTCCAGCAGGTGTCACAGGAGCGGTCTCCCCTTAAGCCGAACCACGCCAGATTCACGGCCTTGGACAAACAGCAGAACCTTGCTTTGGCATGACCCCATCCTCCCCAGTGCTAATTAAGGCCTAAATAAATGGGCCTCAATTTAAGACAACTTCCCCATTGTGTCCCGGCTGATGGAGCCACAGTTTGCAGGTTTACACAAACATACACTCACTGGTTTCTTCTCTAATGAGAAGATACTTCTGTCTAGTTATCCTGAAAATGTGTTTTTACTGGGTTTTGGATCACATTTATGACTGAGATAGCAACATGTACTCCATTCAGTCACTAATCAATGTGATTATCACCAGAGTCTTTCAATTTAATTATTGCTTCTTATCAGCATCCAGTTCATTAAAATTTTGGCAGGTAGGGGTGGAAATGACGCAGATAGATGAAGGACGGTAGCTGAATGATAAGGCCCCTTGTACAGAAAAGGCAGAGGTGAACTGAATGTATCTAATAATGAGTGAAATACCCACCCCGCACTGCCTCTACACTCTGCCTCCTCTACCCTGGGCTGAACAAGGCATGGGCTGATAGCTTTGCCTCTGACCCTGGCTGGGTAGAGTTACCTCGTCACCATTAAGATTAGAGACAGAAGCACTTGTGATTTGCAAGTGTGGGAGCATCAGTCGAATCCACAGCCTTCCTCTCTCTCTCTCTTTTTTTTCTCCCTGGAAACGGTGCAGGAGGAATAACATTAAAGTGCTACTGGCTATAAACTAGAGAAGGGGGCACAGGCAAAGGGGGGGCAATCAAGTGGATCTGGGACTCTCTGCTCCCGTGGCCCCAGGAGTAACACCTGGAGATCTGACAGCAGAGTCAGGCAGGGGCGAGGGAGGAAGCCTGAAGATCACAGGGGCCTCGCAATCTGTGAGGTGCAAGACACCCTCTCCATCCACACATGGGGAACCGACTTGAATGAACTCTCGAGGAATGAAGCTCAGAGAAGAGAACAATAATTTGTTTGGAAAGACTATTTCTAAAATCACTTTCATTACTATATTGTATTTTGCCTCACATATGTCTGTGTACCACGGGCATGCCCGGTGCCTAGGAAGGACAGACGAGGGAGGGTATTGGATCCCCTGGAACTGGAGTAACCGCTCGTTGTGAGTCACTGAATATGGGTGCTAACAAATGAACTGGGGGCCTCTGCAAGAGTAGCAAGTGCTCTTGTCCTCGGAGCCATCCACCTCTCCAGCCCCCAAACCCATGTTTTTTGCTTTTTTGTTTTTGTTTTTCTTCAGTGGTACCAGGAAAAACAGTGCCGGCACCTGGTTTGGACTATGATTTTTCCTGATCGCCCGTAGCTATGTCAGAACGGTCAAGTTAATCTCAACCTGCGGCGGCGGCAGCAGCAGCAAGAAATTGCCATTAAACCACACGTGAGAGCTGGGGAGAAGGTGGCGAAAAGGTAAACTGTTTGCTGTGCAAGTATGAGGACCCGGGTTCGATCCCTAGCTGGGCATGATGACTTTTCACTTGCCTGTAACCCCAGTGCTGGTGCAGCCCAGACAGGCAGATTTCTGAGGCGGCCTAGCAGAGTGAGGACGCCAAGTTCAGTGAGAAGTGTTCCCCAAGAGTGAGGCAGAGAATGAGTGAGAAATAGACACAGTGCTGACCTTGAGTGGGGAAGAGTATCCTGTGCCTTGTTAAAAACAGCATACCGTATGATTCAATTTGGGAGGAACTGGTTTAAAAAAAAAAATCACTAATATCTTGTAATGTGAGTCAAAGGGATATGGGTATTCATCTCTGAATCATGGGATTACTCTTGGCTTTCCTTGGGTCTTGGAGCACATTTTAAGTTTGAAAAGCTGTTTATGAATTTTCCAATCAGAAAAGGTCACGCTTGCCAAAGTTAGCATACACCCTTTGCAGCACTGCTTTAGACACTGTGGTTTTGATAACGATGGCCAGCAAAGTGCACAGATTTTAGGACAGTTCTTTCCACTTCCTTTGTGTAACTACACTGAGGTAATGCTCACTATGGAGCTACTGAACCTGGTGGCAAGAGAGTACCCCAGACACTGACAGTATTCTCTCTGGAAAGTTCCAGAAACTCTGCAGCAGGGACATGGCTGAGAGCACTTGTGGGTAGATCAATCGAATACTCGGATTTTTTTTCTGGAAAAAAAAAAATGAAGGTTTTTGTGTCCTGGGACAACCACTCTCCTCTGTGGCTGACAAACATCATATACACTGGAAGAGTGTGGCTGGGTACTAATAAACCTTTATTTATAAAGAAAGTAGTTTGGCAGGGCAGTGGTGGTACATGCCTTTAATCCCATAACAGAGGCAGGCAGATCTCTATGAGTTTGAGGCCAGCATGGTCTACAGAGTGAGCTTCAAGACAGCCATGGATACACAGAGAAATCTTGTCTCAAAAATCAAAGAAAGAAAGATAGAGAGAAGGAAAGGAAGAAAGAAGGGATGGAGGGAGGTAGGGAGGAAGGAAGGAAGGAAACAAAGAAACAAACAACGAAAAAGAAGTAGGAAAGTAGTTTGGGCTGGGGAGATAGCTTAGTAGCTAAAGCAATGGCCATACAAGAGGGAGAGCCAGATTTGGGACTCTAGGACTCACATAAATGCTGAATGGATGGGGCAGCACATCTTAGAAGACAGACACAAGCTCCTCAGAACAAGGGGCTGGCCAGACTAGCAGCATCAGGCAGCTGCTGTGAGTTCGAATGAGTGACTTCCTCAATGAGAAAGATGGAGAATAATCAAGGAAGACAGTGTCATCAACCTCAGGCTCCCATCTACACATAATCACACACATGCATATGTACCCTTCTGCCTTGGACAGCCATTCACACACAGAACACACGCACACAACGCACATCATCCACACATCCTTATGGACAGAAAATCAAACAAAACCAAAACGAAGTAGTTCGCCATCACCTGTAGAGTCCAGCTTGCCTGTCATAATCCAGGAAGCAGAAGTGACCAAGTACCAGCCAGCTCAATCCCTGCTAATACTATTATAAAAGCATCCCACAAGCATCTCCCATTCCCAGATTCTGTTCCCGACCTTTGCCTTTGGCATACACTTCTCAATGAGTATAGGAATTTGCTCAGAGCTGAGTGTGAGTGCACACACCCTGCAATCCCAGCAGTCAGTGCAGTTGGAAATGGACTAAGAGAAACCCGAGTTTCCACTGTCCTCTCCACGTCTCATGGCAATCACTTGCATTGCAGAGGCCCATTGGAAGGACACACAAGTTAAAGAGAGGAAAGCTAAACTATAAGGTATACCAGGTCCAGTCCCAGAGGTCCAAGGCCAGCACCCCTCGAGGGCCCAGGGACAGACCAGGGCCAGGTGAGGTACTATGACCTTCAGAGGCCAAGACTTGAGGGACGCACGCACAGAGTCAGAGGGCTACTCACGCTGTCGTTGCTTCCTTTGTTGTCTTCGTACTTGGTTTCTATATGGATGGAGAATTTCGGCAGAAAGGAACACTGTGGACAAAGAGCAGACTTTGGTTAGCACTGCAGTCTCCTCTTGTCGCGTCTTCGGTGTGGCTTGGGGCTGCTCGCCTGAACATTAGGTTGGGAGCATAGATCTATAGCAGAAATGGTAAGATATCTTATACATCAGTAACCACATTCTGCGGGAGAAGCCACTACCGTGAGCACCACTTCTCCCAGAAGTCAGTAGGCAGTGTTGGGAAGGGGGATGGCCCAGCAGCACGTGTCCAAAGGGAATATGTGCTGTGAGCCCTGATGCCAGAGGGAATGTAGTCGCCTGTTACGGAAGCCAACTCCGGGTCTGCGAAGCTCACTTCGCTCACCAGGGACCTCACCATAACCCCTGTGTTCATGTGCATACAAAATTAAGGAGGTGGCCCAGCACGACCTTGAGATCAAAGATCAGTGGTCAGTTAGGTGCACGTGAGCACATGTATGTGTGGCATCCATGTGAGTACATAGATACTGATGATCTCTGTTCGGTACGTTCCTCCATTACTCTCCATCTCAATTTTGGGAGGGACATAGTATGTGACGGGGTCTCTCTATATAGTCCTGGCTGCCCTGGAACTCACTCTGTAGAGCAGGCTGGCCTCAAACTCACAGAGATCCCCCTGCTTCTGCCTCCCAAGTGCTGGGATTAAAGGTGTTTCCCACCATGCTTGGCCTTTTTTTTTTTTTTTTTTTTTTTAACCTAGAGCTCACCAATTTGTTTGGGTGAGCTACAGGTATTGGCCTGCCTCCACATTTCCTCTATTGCCGGCATTGAGATTATGATAGGTACCTCTGTCCTTGCATTTTATGTGGCTACTGGGGCTCCAAGCACAGGTCACCATGCTTCCATGGCAATCACTTTACCTAATGGGCAAGCTCCCTCGCTCGCCTCGATAATTGTTTCTTCAATCTGTAACTTTAAGGGGTTGACAAGATGACTCAACAGGAAAGGTACCTGCCACTCAAGCCTGACGATTCAGAACTCATGCAAAAAAGCCAGCTGTGATGGTGCGAATCTGTATTCCCAGCCATCCTACAGCAAACGGAAAGTAGGGGCAAGGGCGCCTGGAAGCCTGTGGGCCAGCTAGCCTGGAGTGCACAGCACAGCAAAAACAGCAGGAGAAACCAGCCTCAAAGTAAGGTGGAACATGAGACCCCAACCTCAAAAGTTCTCTTAAGCCCTCTCTCCCAACTTATTATCTACTAGTGACCCTACAACGGATACATAAATTGATGCAGCAACAACAACAACGAAATTTTGCTGTCAAGGGTCTGGTGGTCCAAGGTGGAGCATGTGCTTAGTATGGGTAAGGTCTTGAGTTTGATCTTCAGAACCGAAACGTGCATGTGGAACTAAGTAACAAGTAAGTCATCAGCGAACAGCAGTGATCAGCACGAGGCTGCCAGAGGCCTTATTTGCAAGGCTGCCCTAGTGTCCCTGTCTTACCAGGCCCCACTGTGTCTCAGATTTGAAAGGTCAGGCAGCCTAAGAAGAGGATGTTGATGGATTTGGGTGTATCCGGCCTCCTCCTGGCACTGCGCTGGACATTATCTTCCTTGAACACCAGAGATGGGATCGAAGGCTAATAGTTAAAATGACCCAGAGAGTTTTTCACTGGGGCCTGCAGGTATTAGAGCCAAGAGACATGGCTTGCTCTGGTCACAGTCCCAAGAGGCTATGTTCTCTGCCACAGGCATTTTCTGAATGTTTCCAAGTTCTTGGATGTTTGCAAATTCCCCAAGGGGTAAATGCTAATATTATCATCCCTCCTTTCGAGATGAGGAATGGAGCCACAGAGAGGTTAAGTAAATGGCCTCCAATCACACAGCTGGCTCATTACCGCATCAGTGCTGAAAGCTGTGTAGCCTGTGTCCATGTCCCAGTGTCCATGCTCTGGACTATCACCACCCCCCCCCCCGTGGTTCTCTAAAGGGGGATGTCTAGTCCAGTGACAGCCACAGCACTCTAGAAGTTTGCTAGAAATGTAATGCCTAAGGGCCCACTCTGGAGTAACTGATTCCAAAAGCCTGGAGGTGGGGTCCAGCACTGTAAGTTGCACAAACCCTTCATGGGCATGCTGCCACACGCTCCAATGGGGAAGCTGGCTTACTGCTCCATTTGTGGGAATGGGAATGGGAAGAGGATGAAAGCCAAAGCCCCATCACCTACGAATACCACCTGTACCTCATGGGCTTCCCCTCTGCTCTAACTACACTCCCCTTTCAGCCTAGCTGAGACCCTGGGGACATCCACATAAGAAGGCAGACGACGTGCCATGGCTAATTTCCCTGACACCACATGCCTGCGTGCACCTGATATCTACCCAGTTTTAATCTAAGAGAAGCAATCGGAGCTGTGACTAAGGAATCACGGAGACAACCGATCCCAGTAATTGCCTCGATGGAGACTGAGGCGCCATGGTGATTTATTAACACATTCCCGGCTGTCTCCTGCCCAACCTCTCACTCGGTAACACTGCCCTCACACCCATTTCCAGGGACTTCCAGGGAGGAGGGCTGCTCATCGTGAGTCAAGTCTCTGGCACCCCTGGGGCCCCTGGTAGACCCTTGATTGACTCATGAGCATGGGAGATGTCCTTGCAAAGAGACCCTCTTAGAGATAACAAGCCTTTAGGGAAATCAATATTTGTACTTTCAAACCTGTGATTTATCTGAGGGTCAATCCAATGAGGAGTGAGGGAAGGAGGCAATGCAGGGTGTGAATCGGTCTGCGGCACCAAGAGAAAAACTACATGGCGCAGTGTGTGTGTGTGTGTGTGTGTGTGTGTGTGTGTGTGTGTGTGTGTACACGTGCTCCTGAGTTCTTCCTCCATTACTACAAAGTGTAACCTGAAATTCGCTGAGTAGGCTTGGTTGTGGGGCTTAAGAGCCCCAGAGATTTCTCCCAACTGTTTCCATAGCACACTGGTGCACCACTGTGTTCCCTTTCTATGATCTAAACTCAGGTGCCCATGCTTGTGTAGCGAGCGCTTCACCAACCAGGTTTTCTCCCCAGCCTGTGGCTCCCCACCCCCACCCCCAAGCTCATCTTCTAAAACCGCTTATCTAGGCCGAGCCAATAAATCCCAGCATTTGGGTTTCAAACCCAAATATGAAATGCAAAAGGCTTGCATGCAAATTCGCAGGTGCTGTTATTTTGAGTGGAGGATGAAGGTTATTTTCCTATCAGAATGGCAACCCTGACTGCATCAAGGCTGCAGGTGCGCCCGCCCTCAGCCAGGCAGCAGGAGGATGTGGACCAAAGGAGCCCTGCCCTGGGTTGCAGAGTGTTTTTTTTTTGGATGGGGACAGGCGAGGTAGGGCTGATAATCCTTTTGGGGGCATCTGATGGATCCTTCGTGGGGGGCTGGCATGTGAGAGTGTCTCACGATAAAATCAGAAGTCTCGGTTCAGTGAAATGCCTCAGTGGGGAAGGGTACATACTGCCCAGCCCGAGAGCGTGAGTCCAACCTGCAGATAACCGAAGGGTGGAAGAAAAGAGCTGAGTCCTACAAATTGTCCTCTGACCTCTACAGGTACGCCATGACATATGCGCGTGCGAGCGTGCGCACGGTACACACAGAATGTAAAGAAGAGCAGAAGCAGTCAGGTGTTGGTGGTGCACCCCTTTAATCCCAGCACTCCAGAGGCATAGGCAGGTGGATCTCTGTGAGTTCGAAGCCAGCCTGGTCTACTGAGTGACTTCCAGGACAGGCTTCAAAGCTACACAGAGAAACCCTGTCTCGAAAAAGAAAGGAAGGAAGGAAGGAAGGAAGGAAGGAAGGAAGGAAGGAAGGAAGGAAGGAAGGAAAGAACAGCAGAAGCTTCTACAGCTCCAGTTGTTTTAGAACTGCCGTAAACTCTGTGAGCTGTTCATCTTTAACAATGTTTCGTTATTTGTTTTTATTTATGTGTGTGGGTGTCTTGCCTGCATTTGTCTGTGTACCACATGCACACAGTATCTGCAGGGGTCAGGAGGGCATCGGATGCTCAGGGACTAAAGTTACAAAAGGTTGTTGGCCATCATGTGGGTGCTGGGAACTGAACCCTGGTCCTCTGGAAGAGCCACCCAGTGCTCTTAACTAGTGAGTCATTTCCCAAGTGCACAAAGTTTAAGATTGGCACCTGGGGCCAGCCAGTCTATCCAAAATGGCGAGCTCCAGATCTCAAAAACAATGTGGACTGGGACTAGGGAAGACAAGTCAAATGCCGATCTCAGGCCTCTATTCACACATGCACACACATATACATAAACAAATAAAATGTTCCACAAGTTTGTTCTCTCCTTCTGCCATGTAGGTGTGGGGATTTGAACCCGGGTTGTCAGGCTTGGAAAGGAACCTTTAACCACTGAGCCATTTCGCTGGTCCAAATCTCACAGTTTTGACTCCTGGTTTGATGAGGACAGAGGCCTCATGATAGAAACACCATAGCCTCCTCCCATGTACCGCCAATCTTTCAGTTATTTATTTTTGCTTCTTACTCTTTGAGAATCAGAGGATGACACTCGTTTCCCCATTGCAAAATGCCATAGTGAAAAGAACTGGTGGTCTTGCCAGTGACTTGCGATCACAAGGGAAACATCTTGACTTTTACCATCCCCAGCCTCAGCTACTGCATTTCCAGAAAGAGAACAATCCTTTACTCTGTAGGCATACTTGGAAGATCAATGATTGTACAAGCAACCTCTAGCCCAGTTCCTGGCACACACTAGCTGTGCAGTAATAAAAAGCCATTTATATATGGCTTCCCTGGGATCCTGTTTAATTGATTATCTTCTCCCTATCTCCTCATGACCCCAAAACACAAGGAGTGTTTTATTCATGTGCATGGTTGTGTATGTGGTGTGTGGGTATGTGTTTGTATGTGATGTAGGGTGTGTGTGTGTGTGTGTGTGATGTGGAGTGTGGGGTGTGTGTGTATGTGGCACGTGTGTGTTGTGTACGTACACAGAGGCCAGAGGAGGGTGTCCCGTTTCTTCTAGCACTTTCCACTTT